TGACCCACGTCGGTTTGTGTTCTGGATATGCTGAGGTTTATTCTGGATGTTTTTTATGTTTATGTTATGTTCAGGATATATTCAAGTTATGTTCTGGATATATCCAGGTTATGTTCTGGACATAAATTCAGGTTATGTTCTGGACATATTCAGGTTATGTTCTGGACATATTCTTGTTATGTTCTGGACATATTCAGGTTATGTTCTGGATATATTCTTGTTATGTTCTGAATATATTCAGGTTATGTTCTGGACATATTCAGGTTATGTTCTGGATATATTCTTGTTATGTTCTGAATATATTCAGGTTATGTTCTGGATATGTCCAGGTTATGTTCTGGATTTATTCAGGTTATGTTCTGGATATATTCTGGTTAAGTTCTGGATATATTCAGGTAATAACTCATTTATGTTCAAGTTTAGTCAGGTTATGTTCTGGTTATGCACGTTATGTTTTGGATGTATTCTGGTTACGTTAAATTTATGTTCAAATTAAAGTCAGGTTATGTTCAGGATATGTTAATGCTATGTTCTGAGTATGTAGATGTTTTGTTCTGGACATGTTCTGATTATGATCTGGATATATTCAGATTATGTAACATTTATGTTTGAGTTATAGTCAGGATATGTTTATGTCATGTTATGGATATATATTCTGGTTATGGTCTGGATACATTCAGGTTTTGTTAACTTTATGCTTGTTATATTCAGGTTATGTACAGGATATGTTCAGGTTATTTTCTGGATTTGTTCATGTTCTGGATATATTCTACTTATAGTCTGGATATATTCAGGTTATGGTCTAGTTTTGTTAAATTTATGCTTGTTATATTCAGGATTTTGGTCAGGATATGTTCTGGTTATGGTAAACTTATGTTGAAGTTAGGTTCTAGATATGTTCAGACTATCATCTGGATAAATTTAGGTTATGGTTTGGTTATGTTCTAGATGTGTTCAAGATCGGATATCACAAACCAAGAGTCAACAAGCATTACTTTTTAAAGTTTCTCACCTCAGTTTCTCTTTCTCCAAATTAAAGATCACTGCATAGTTGTGAGGCCTCTGATCCACCTCAGTCCAGTTCAGGATCAAAGCCAGAGTTAAGATTCAGTTCATGGTACCAACAAAGCCTGTCTGCACTGGATTGGTTTAGTAAACTCGATAGTAATCCTGTAATCCAGAGTTTGTTGAGCCAGCATCATGGAACAGGCCCCAGATCCACTGAATCTGCTCGTCATGTTCACTTCTTCATCCTCTCAGTGTGTTTATTCTGTAGTTCACTGAAGACAGACATGATTGAAACTGAAATAACTCTGTTTGATGAAGAGAAGCAGTGTTTGTGTTTACAATAAACTGTACTATAGTGACTGTAAAGCATATCATACACACACACACACACGTCTGTTTAATGTTTCAAACTAATTTAGTGAAGGCAAATGTCAAAATGAGTTTAAAATTATCACAATCTTGAGGATTTGAAGATTAAATCAGAAGTCAGAGTGTTTTAAGATCTTTAATTAGTGTTGATTAATGAACCAGCACATGATTGTTGATTAAATATGACTGATACGAGTTTACAACTGATACACTCGATGATGTTTAGTGTCTGTCCTCTGGAAATCTGCAGAAAACACTGTAAGAGTTGCAAAATCTGATTGTTCTTTGTAAAAATGTAATTAAATCAAACACAAGCTGTGCTATCTGTATCTGTGTGCCTTGTGTTCCTATCGTTATGGGGACCAAATGTCCCCACAGGTATAGCGATAGCACTACATGTTGAGCATGTGTGTTGATGCTTTTGGTCTCCATGGTGAACACGTACAGCTCATACATCAGACAGAATGAGGGATCTTGGGGACGTAAGAGTGCAGATTGTAGTGTGACGGACTATACGAGTACTCAGGCTGCCGAGTTGGTGGAGGAGTGTGTATGTGCACGCAATAGAAGTTCAAAGTGGCTCGAGTTGTATCTATCATACCTGCCCTGAAACCCTTCCAGTGGGGAGTTTATTGAGGGTTATTTGATAACAGCTGGACATTATGGCTCTTACAGGACTGATGTTGAAATCACAGAACACTTGCTGAAATCACTTCACTTTCAATGACTTCTGACAGATTCAGTACCGTTATATCTCCGATTAGCATTAAATCAGTCAAATGTAAGACTTTTAAAGACCTTTTTAAGACTATCGTGACTGAAAATTCTGATTCACACAAGCCTAAACACCTAAGCTTTCAAATAAACACATTATAATGTAGTTATCTATCAGTAGAGCGGCACAATCTGTTGCCGAATTACCATTATAGTGATAATAGTGTCTGCAGTATGCACACACAGACGTGTGATAAAGGACATTTATTTTATGAACGTGTGAATTAGCGATAACTGGAGACGTGAACCACTTCAATACATCATCCAAAGCAGAACAAATACATGTATAGATTAAAGCATATGAGAACTTCACTCACCTGGGGTATGGAGGACATGTGAGTGGTTTGTG